ACGGGTTACTTAGCACTGGTTATGGCAGCAGCAGAGGAGGAGAAGCCGAACTCGGAGCTACCTGCAGCAGTACGGGAGGTGTTGGAGCAGTACAGGGACATCATGCTAGATGACTTGCCTGTAGGAGTGCCTCCAGCGCGCACCCACGAGCACGAGATCGTGGAGGAACCAGGTGCGAAACCCGTCTCCCGTGCACCATACCGCCTTAGTCCGACCGAACTGACAGACATGAAGAAACAGATCGAGTATCTACTAGACAGACAACTGATCCGCCCATCCACCTCTCCCTACGGCGCACCAGTTCTCTTCACTCCAAAGCCAGATGGTAGTTTACGGATGTGCATCGACTACCGCGCACTGAACAAACAGACAGTCAAAAACAAATACCCCATACCGCGCATAGACGATCTTCTAGACCAACTGCGTGGTGCGACGGTGTTTTCGAAGCTGGACCTACGGTCGGGTTACTGGCAGATCAAGATGGCAGACAACTCAATCCACAAGACGGCGTTCCGTACCAGATACGGCTCCTACGAATACTTAGTGATGCCGTTCGGACTCTGCAACGCACCAGCGACGTTCCAGGCGGAGATGAATCATATCTTACGGCCCCTGCTGGACGAGTGCGTAGTGGTGTACCTGGACGACATACTGATCTACTCCAAAACCATGAAGGAGCACGTGGAGCATCTGCGGAAAGTGTTCGAGATCCTGCGGGAGAATAAGTTTTACGTGAAGCTGTCGAAGAGCGACTTTGCCCTGAAGAAGGTGCAGTTTCTCGGGCACATGGTGAGTGCGGAGGGCGTACACGTGGACCGCACCGGAAGATCGAAGCCGTCAAGAAGTGGAAAGTTCCTGAGAACGTGAAGGAGTTGCAGCAGTTCCTAGGCTTCGCCAACTACTACAACAGGTTCGTGCCGCAGTACGCTAAGATAGCAGCGCCACTGACCAACCTACTGAAAAAGGATACACCCTATAAATGGGATACTCCTCAACAGCAAGCCATGGAGCAGCTACAGACAGCACTGACTACAGCGCCAGTACTCATCCTACCGGATCCAGACAGAGACTACGTGGTGGAAGCAGACGCTAGTGACCAAGCAGTCGGAGCAGTACTGATGCAGGATCACGGACGCGGTTTGCAGCCCATCGCCTATCTGAGTAAGAAGCTACACGGAGCAGAACTGAACTACCCTATCCATGACAAGGAAGCCTTAGCGATAGTCACAGCCTTCAAGGCATAGAGGTGTTACCTAGAGGGAGCCAAGACTACAGTTTACACTGACCACTGCAGCCTCAAATACCTGAAGTCGCAGCCAACGCTCTCACGACGACAGGTGCGGTGGGTGGACTTCTTGGAGACCCACTTCCACTACGACATCGTCTACAAGCCCGGACATCCAGCTCGACGGGATGAACCCTCTGCTCAAGGGTCTATTCCAGCATGGATACTCCGTGGACGCAGAGATCGCTACAGCAGAGAAACAGAAGCTGTTACAGTGGGAGAAGGACCTAGCTGTAAGAAAGGGATCAGGAAAGATTTGGGTACCAAACTATGCCCCGCTCCGACAGATCTTACTGGAGGAGTTTCACGATGTGGCATACGCGGGACATTTTGGGAGCAACAAGACGTTAGCGGGAATAGGAAACTATTATTACTGGCCCCGGATGGCAACAGACGTGCAGCAGTTCGTCACTTCATGCGACACGTGCCAGCGGATGAAGAGTAGCAAGCAGAAAAAAGTAGGGTTACTTCAGCCTCTACCCGTACCGGAGCAGCCATGGCAAGTCGTTAGCCTAGACTTCATTACTGGGCTTCCTTCGACCTCACGAGGGCATGACGCTATACTCGTGGTGATCGATAAGTTCTCTAAAATGGGACACTTCATCCCGACCAACGCCACGGCTACTGCTGAAGCAACTGCTCGCCTCTTCTTCGACCGCATCATCACCATCCACGGCATCCCCGCTACACTTATTTCGGACAGAGACCCAAAATTTACTAGTAAGTTCTGGAGGGAACTCATGGGCTTGTTGGGGACAAAGCTTGCAATGTCTTCAGCGTACCACCCCCAGACTGACGGACAGACAGAGCGACTCAATCAGGTGGTTGAACAGTTACTGCGCACAGCTTGCAAAGACGACATCAGCCACTGGGATACACAGTTACCAACCCTAGAGTTTGCTTACAACAACACGTTGCATGCGGCCACAGGGAAATCTCCATTCTTCCTGTGCTATGGACGGGAACCACTTACACCACAGCAGCCAACCACACCGGCACACGTCCAAGCCGCACACGACTTCGTCACCACCATGCAGCAGCTACAGGAGAAGACTCAACGACGTCTCATCGACAGCGACGTGATCACTCAGTAGCAGTCGGAGATCAGGTGCTTCTCGACACACGCAACTTGGACTTGTCTCACATTCCGTCCAAGCCCGGGCCTCGCTTCTGTGGTCCCTTTCGCGTTGAGGCGATGGTGACACCAGTTACATTCCGCTTGCGCTTACCTATTACTTGGAAGCTTCATAACGCTTTCCATGTTCAGCTGCTGAAACCCTACAAGGACCCCAACCAGCAGTTTACGGGACGACAACTACCGCCACCACCACCTGTTCTCATACAGGATGAACCAGAGTACGAGGTGGAACGAGTTCTCGCTCATCGACGCAGACGCGGCAACACGCTCGAGTTCCTGATACGTTGGAAGGGATATGACCCGTCGGAGGACAGTTGGGTTGCAGAAGCTGATATGGGCAACGCACGCTGTGCTCTCAAGGATTATCTTGTCAAGCAGGGTGTATCTCACGCCACCCAGCTTTGAGGGGGGGACGTGTGAGAGTACGACAGCATTGCTACGCTTTATTAGCTTGATTCTAATTTACTATGCATTATCTAGCTTAGCTTTGCTTTATTTTGCTTGCTTTTGCTAGATTTCCTAGGTTCGTTGCTTTTACTATATTATTATAGTTTTAGGCACCGAACTAGGTTGAGTGCACCGAATTCTAGGCTTTTCGGTTGCCACCGAATTGCCTTCTACCGAATTCGGGAAGGACCCATTCGGGACGCTTCGCGACCCGCGGAACCTTCTAGTAACACCAGGGTTACTGCCTTTGTGTCGAGCCTATATATAGCCTTGCCTTGTACCCAGGTGAATCATTCAATAGTTATATCTTTCCTGAACCAGATCCTCACATCGTTGACCACAACGGTGCCACGGAAAAATGTTGCGTAAATGATTAGATGTTTCCCGTGGATTCCATCTGTGCTCTCGTCAAGGGACAAGCCAATCCAAGGCGACTCCAGCAAGTGCGACCGTTGCACTTCTTGCACGTACGTTGAGATGGCCCGGAAATTCTCTTTGAAGCCATATCTGCACAACACAACAACACACGCCAATCCTGTCAGTATTTGTGAACATCACTCGAAGCACCTTAAAAAAAAACCTGCGCTTACTCAGTGTAGTAGGCGCCATAGCCGCCACCGTTTGGAAGGTCTGGAACACCTTCCTTCGCCAAGAACCAGCAGAGCGGGATGAACATCGCGATCGGTGCATCCGCATTGCAGATAAAAAGGGTGATATGAAGAACGCGAATGATGTGACGCGTAGACGCGTCAGTTGTCTGCCAACGAGTTAGTGTCGCCTGTTTCGCCTTCTCAGCTGCAGCTTCTTCTTGGCTCGTGAGTGCGTTCTTGTGAGCTCCTGTTGAGGAATGGGCCCGGACGATTCCAATATGGAGGTCGCGGCCACCTTCACCTCTCACACCATAGATAATGTGAGCAGCGGGGTCGCCATGCTGCACAGAGATGTCACACTTGAGCTTTGCATTTCCGTTAGGCAATCAAAATAGACGCAACCACTTGAACTTACCCTTCCTCTCCCTCTCATAGCGATGCTTTTGTCAGAAACTAGAACGAGAATGATGCATTGAGAACAGATCTGGATACAAGTACTAACCCTAATCTGGGTTGTACCCCTTATGGGCTACCCCACTACAGCCTACACAACATAAGCATCATTATAGTTTGACACACCCCATAGGCAAAGTGGGGGAGAACCAGTGGTCACAAGACCAGTCAAGAAAAGCAAAGCAAGCTCAGGGTGGATCACGAAGTCACCACACATTCTGAGCACAAGCAAATGGCCACAAGGCCAGTTCACATGCAGAGTTATATAAAAGAGAACAAACAGTACAGTGATCACAACCTAGCAAGTGTAAGCATGCTGGTATATGTATATATAGATCACAGTACAAGCAAAGTCACGCAGTGAGCAAGTGAGACAAAATAGGCACAAGGCCTAAAGCAGTACACAAAGGCTAATAATCACCAGACTGAAGTGCCTTGGTGAATATATCAGCAGTGTTGGCCCGGGTGGCCACGTAAGCAAGACGAAACTGACCACGCTGCTGCAACTCTCGAGCAAGGAAGTAACGCAAAGCGATGTGCTTCGTTCTGTGCTCCTCACACAAGGCAATAGCGGCCTTGTTGTCTACGTACAGAACTGGAGGAGAACTAGAAAACGAGCCAGCGTAACTCCTGTGCAGTTATGGCTCTTGCGTAGATCTCAGCCTCACAACTGGAGCTGAGAACAGAAGACGAGCGGGTAGACCGCCAAGAAACAGAGCCGGAGCCAAGGCTGAACGTGTAACCCTGTGACGACCGCTGCGTAGCCAGGTCATCAACCCAAGAGGCGTCTGAGTGTCCAGTGAGGACAACTGGACCCTGTCCTCCAAGCACGAGCCTCATGACTGATGTACCGCACAAGTAGCACAACACTCTCTTAGCGGCCTCCCAGTGCTCGCGCCGGTGTCTCCTGGGTACAACGTAGCGTGCCAGGATGCTAAGAGGGTACGCAAGGTCAGGTCGAGTGCAGGTCATCAGGTACATGAGGCACAAGCTCTGGATACGGGTCACTCGCCTCTACGGACTCGTCCAAAGGTGGAGCTGAGAGCGAGTGACCAGTAGGCAGAGGAGTGGACAGTGGCGAGGAGAACTAGAAGCCAAAGCGCAAAAGGACCTGCTGCACCATGTGTGACTGAGTAAGGGTGATGGTGCGCCGTGCTCTGTCCCGGGTGATCTGCAAGCCAAGATAGCTGCGCAGCTCACCCAGGTCTGTGCACGTGTATCTCTTCTGCAGCTCCGACTTCACAAGGGCCAGTGCCTCAGTGTCAGCAGTGGCAAAAACCAAGTCGTCGACATACACGAGGATGTAGAACGGCGGCAGCGAAGTGTCGATGCGCAGAAACAGCGACGGGTCAGCAGTCGAAGGAGCAAACCCAAGAGCCGCAAGTGTTGTCCTCAGTGTGTCGTGCCACTCACGAGGCGCCTGACGGAGACCGTAGACTGGCCGCCGGAGGCTCCACTGGGTACCTGCAGGAAACGACCCAGTGAAGCCAGGTGGGCGGCGCAGCCAGATCTCCTTGTGCAGGCTGCCCTGCAAGAAAGCTGTGCTGAAGTCAAGAGAGTGAAGCTCGTAGTCACGTTGAGCGGCAACGTGCAGCAGCACCCAAAGAGTGGTCATCTTTGGGGTAGGGGAGAAGGTCTGGAAGAAGTCAACTCCCTGCCGCTGACTGAAGCCTCGTGCAACATAACGAGCCTTGAAGACAGGCGGAGAACCCGGCGGTCGCTTCACCCTGAAAATCCACATGCCATCGACTATGTTCGCCCAAGGAGGGGGAACTGCGTCGACGTAAGTGCCTATGGACTTCCAGGATGCCATCTCTGCGTCCATGGCTGTCTGCCACTGAGAGGAGTAGGGACCCGTAATCGCCTCTGCGTAAGAGCGCAGGGTCGGGATGTCCAGTGCATCCGGGTCTCCCTCAGGTGCAAGCAGCATGGCCACGAGATGAGGTACAGTAGCCGCAAGACACTCAAAGTCGTTCTGCCTGTCCTCAAAGACGTCCGTGCCAAGAGCACACTCACCCCCGACGGACGGAGGACAGACAGACTCAGACCCAGCAACAAGACTAGTGGCGTAGTCTAGACGACACGCAGCAGCAAAGTCCACAAGCTCAGCAACTAAGGCAGACGCAGCAGTGGACTCAAACGAAGGGTCAGTGACAACAGTGGCTAGAAGACGTTTGACAGTAGGGCTAGCAGCACGAACCAGTAGGGTTCTGGAACGTCAGGAAGGGAGGACGCAGGAGGAGATGGCAGGGGAAGTACGCGGACGCGGGACACGACGACCAGTGCGAGTAGGCGTGACAGGACGAGACGCAGGCTCACGACGCTCGGTAAGGGAGGCTGGCTGCTCAGTGTAACGAGGGGGGGCAGGCAGCGGTGAGTCTGGAGGAAGGGCAGTGGACGAAGGAAGACTAAGAACATGACGGAGCACCGAGACGGGCGGTAGCGGGGACAGCTGCTGCGGCGCCAAGAAAAACGGTTGCAGCTGCACATTGCCTCGAGGACCAGTACTTCCAGCTCCAGGGCCTCCAGCACCAGCAACACCAGCTCCAGCGCCTCCAGCTCCAGGGCCTCCAGCACCAGCAACACCAGCTCCAGCGCCTGCAGCTCGAGTGCCTCCAGCTTCAGTGCCTCCAGCTTCAGTGTCTCCAGCTCTAGCGCCTCCAGCTCCAGCGCCTCCAGCTCCAGCACCTCCAGCTCCAGCACCTCCAGCTCCAGCGCCTCCAGCTCCAGCGCCTCCATCTCCAGGGCCTCAGTCTAGCTCCAGCGCCTCCAGCTCCAGCACCTCCAGCTCCAGCGCCTCCAGCTCTAGCGCCTCCAGCTCCAGCGCCTCTAGCTCCAGTGCCTCCAGCTCCTGTCCCTCCAGCTCCAGAACCTCCAGCTCCAGCGCCTCTAGCATGAGTGCCTCTAGCGCCAGCGCCTCCAGCGGCAGGGCCTCCAGCTCCAGCAGCGCCACTCCGAAGGCGGGTGCGCCGAGCAAACCACTCGCGCAGCTGCTGTGGTGAGAGAGGCTCTGGCCGGCTAGACCGCTGCGGCGAGGCACCCGAAGGGTCTCCAGCAGACGCAGCACCCCTAGGCTCAGCACCCCTAGATGCAGTACCCTCAGACTTGACACCCCTAGTCTCAGCGTCCCCAGGCTCCGCACCCTCAGGCTCAGCACCCCCAGACTCAGCACCCCCAGGCTCCGCACCCCTAGGCTCCGCAACCACAAGCTCAGCACCCCCAGACTCAGCACCCCTAGCAGCACCATCCCCAGCAGCACCAGAGTTGACAGAAACCGGCTGCAGAGGCGGCGAAGACGGTCGAGGTGGAAAACCCGGAGGGTTCTCCAAGCGTGGTGAGCAGCGGGGGGGCGCCGCATCGTTAGCAGCAGCGTCACCCCCCTCAGCTAGGCTAGAGGTGTCGGACGTGACCTCGAACGGCTCAGCCAAGGGGAGTGGGTCTACCTGAGAGACACCTGAAGGAGCAGGACCCTGAGGGGGGAGGGGGTCTACCGGAGGGGGACCTGGAGCGAGGAAGAGCGGCGGGGGGGGGAGAGGGGCAGTGCGGTAGGGGAAGAGACGGTAAAAGGGAACCGACTCGTCAAACGTGACGTCCTAAGAGGACAGAAAACGGTGCGTGGTGGGGTGGTAAAACTGCCAGCCATGCGCGTCAGGGGGAAAACCAAGGAAGACGCAGGGAGCGGCGCGAGAGGAGAGCTTGTCTGCAGTGGTATCGCAGACAAAGGCACGAAAGCCCTAGACCCGGAACACCGACGCATCGCCAACCTCCCCCGTCCAACGCAGTGTAGGCGAGGTCTCCGGCAAGGAGACACGGGGCCAGAGGTTGAGCTGATGTGCAGCGTACCGGACCGCAAACGGCCACAGAAAATGGGGAGCAGCCGCATGGATCATGGAGGTACGAGCCACCTCCATGACTAAGCCAATGCGGTGCTCAGCAATCCCATTTTGCTGCGGGGAGGCCGAAAGCGTGAACGACTGGAGCATACCCTCCCCACGACTTAAGTCCCGCAGGAAGTGGGAGGAGAACTCACCACCTGTGTTAGAGTACAGACGTAGGACAGGAAGGTCCTGGCGGAACCGCTCGCGGAGCTGGAGACGGACAGCGCGGATCCAAGGGATCAAGACATCAGGGACCTCCCCCTTGCTGCGTAAGGGGAAGACCGTGGTGTAACGCGAGTAGTCATCAACAACCAGCAGAAAGTACCGCTCCTGTTCCTGTCCACGGACGCGGGCTGGGCCCCACACGTCCATATGGAGAGTCTGCAGGGGAGCAGTCGTCGGGGGAAACGAGGAGTGAGGTGCGGCATGCTACTGCCCGCCCCTCGACGCAAGGAAGGCAGGGTGGCGCAGGCGAGGGCGGGAGGGGAGGCAGAGACCTGGGAAGACCAGAGACAAGGAGGCGGGAGTGCATGCCACGGAGGCATGGCAGGGAGGGGTGACCAAGGCGGTGGTGCCAAAGGAGAGTCTGGTGCGTGAGGAGGCGACACGAACAGGGGGCTGCTACCTGACCTGACGCGGACACCTGACCAGACACAGCCACCTGTGCAAAGGCTCGACCTAGGCCGATGGGTGAACGTGGCCAGGTGACGGCCCGTCCGGGCACACATGCAGATCGCCACACGCTGACCCCCAGGAGTGTGGGTAGTAACCATCGCATCTTGGAGAACAATGTTACACACGAAGTTTGTAGAGAACGAGGGGAGGTGAAGATGCGAGAGTGAACCGGACGGAACCGCCGGACACGGGAGACCTGTGGAGGAACGTGCAAAAACCGGGCCCCCGGAGGGGTCGGCCAGTGAGACTGCAACAAGTGCAGGGAGTTGTGTGACTATGGTACTGTGGCAAATGAAGCAGCGGGAAGCACCTGAGTCAAGCGTGAAGGTGTGCAAGGCCTCAGCAGGCGCAGTACCAGAGAGAGCAGACGCACTAGCACCTAGAGCAGCAGCCTCTATACCTGGGTCGGGCGGCACACACAGGTAACAGTCACCCTCAGCACTAACAGTCAAAGCATACATGGCAGCAAGAATAGCATCATAGTCAAGAGCAAAGATATCCACATCGGTCCTAAGCATCTCTCGCCAATAGGGGAGCTCAGCCTCGTTGCCAAACTCTGCGCGCCACGCGTCGTCAAGACTGGAGAAGCAGCGATACTGACTGTGACCAACCTTTCCGCATGCCTGACCAGCCCGATCACCTGTGCGAATGACGTACGGGCAGCGAACACTACCCCCAGACGCCAATCACTGACGAAGCTGCTCGGGCGTAAGGGTCTTGTGGGGACGCTGCTGCTGCTGCCTCTGGCCACCGCCACAACCGCCCCTCTGGACCGCTCCACCCCGACCGCCACCACTGCCGCCGCCACCACTCCCACTGCTGCCACCTCCGCTGCCACCACTCCCACCGCTACCACCACCGCCGCCACCAACGCCTCCACTCCCACCACCACTCCCACCGCCACTACCACTACCACCACCACCACCACCACCACCACCTCCACCACCGCCTCTACTGCCGCCACCCCCACCACTCTTGCCTCCCTTGCCCTTGCCGCTGCGGCGCCTCCCACTAGGAGCAGACGCAGCCCCAACCTCCTCAGCACCAAGGAAGTCAACAGCAGCAGCAGAAGCGACAGAGGGGGCAAGGGGGGAGGGGGAACACCCCTCAAAGAAGGGAGTGCGAGGAGTGCCACGAGAAGCACCTACAGCAATTATGCTAGTCTCAGCTGCAAGGAGATGCTTCTCGAGCAGGTCGACAGTGAGGTCTGTGGGGTCAAGGGCGAGAAAGTGGTCCCTGACTGCGCGAAGAGAGTCAGGGAGGCGGGTGACGATGAAGTAGAGAGTGATGTACTTGGGGGGGGGGGGGGGGGGGGGGGGTTCTTGTCTAGAAACTCGGACTTGAGTGCGGCGTAGTAGCGAGTGTCGCTAGTGCGAAGGTGGGTGATGAGGTCGTCGACTATAGAAAAGTCTGACAGCTCAGGAAAGAGGTAGGGCAGTATGAGTCGGCCTAGAGCAGCAGTGGCAGGGGAGGAGTAACGAGCGACTACAGCGTCATACAGTGCCTTAGCAGTCTTGTGCTGGCCAAAGTGCGCGCGTTCGGCTAACGGCAGGTGGTTGCGAACGGCGAGGCGAGCAGTAGCGTCGCGGGTAAGCCACTGTGAGCGAGTCGCACTATCAGCTGTCCAGAGAGAGAGAGCAAGAGAGGTACCAGACGTGTGGTTAAACAGGGAGACGCCGTCCCTAGACTCACTCTGTAAGTACACCTGTAAGTCGTCTAGCCAGGTGTCGAACTGGATCGGACGACCCTCAGAATTGTCGCAAGATAAGGAGAAGAGGAAGAGGTGAATATACTGTATATTTGTACAGTGCTGCGGATAAGCGAGTGTCGAGGGCTGGGGGTAGCAGGACGGGATGGCTAGCGAGTACAGGACTGGATGAACAGGTTGGGCTGGAGATGTGGCGATGGGAGGATGCTAGGTGACAACTGGAAGGAGCTATTTGTTTCGTTTGAAGCGTGCATGTTTGCTTTCTTGTAGGTAGTATGCCCGAGCCAGCTGGAATTACAGGCACGAGCTGGGGGATTGGCAGTCGGATGGCTAAGTGTTAGTGGCTAGAGGTGCGGGAGGTTGGTTCTTCGGCATGCCGAGGGAACCATCACCTCCAGGGGTCTCATAGGGTGTAGCAGTAGGGGGAGGAGCCCAGGTAGGATATAGGGGGTACGGGCAACTAGCCTGGCATTGTTTGTATGTTCTATGAGAATATCATGTAATTGCTTCAGCTCAAGCAGTCGTGAGGTAACAGGCCATAACAGACATTAGGAAGGTGATGGAAGCATTTAACTATGTTAGTGAATAAGTCGGGAGAGCTTATCACATACAAACAATCGAGATGCAGTAGTATGCGGACGCGTGGCGGGACGGAATACGAGTTGGAGAATAAGATAGTACAGGAGTCGCAAGGAACGCCGAGAAGAATCGTCGGCATGAATCAAGGGACGGACACGAGGGAGGAAGTTGGGCGCGGTCTTGATTCTCCCAGGCAAGAGGCTGAAGGGCAAGATCGATCGGAACGCTCGTCCGGGGAGAAGGAAGCCACGGCAGCGGAGAGGAAGGACTTGCGATCGGAAGGAAGGCCGGTGCAAGGAGAAAAGTGTGACCGTGCGACGGGATCCTACCAGCGGAGCGTATCATGGCAGGAGGAGGCCTCCGCGCAGCGGTGGAAGTACACGTTGCTTCCGAAGATTGAGGTGCCAGAGCGCTTTTCGGGAGACACCCGACGAGGACCGTCGATAAAAAAAACTATGTGATGCAGCTGGACAATCTGCGAGTGAGGTGGGAGCGAGATCGGCGGGATCCTGAGGAGTTCTTCCGCGGACTGGCTAATACGCTAACGGGAGAAGCGGAAACATTTTATCGCCTCAGCAGGCGAGAGGGACCCAACTGCGCGCTTCTTGAGCATGCTGGAGGAGAAGTTCCCAGCGCGGACCCCAGAGCGGGTGTCGGAGTTCCGGAACTTCCGTCGGAGAATAGGAGAATCGTTACTGGCGTATTACGACCGACTGGTGGAGCTGGCGGAGGATATGAGTTGTCATGACATGGGGCGCCTGGTCAGCAAGTTCCGGATTGCATTATGACCTTCGGCGGGATGTGGTGGTGCGGGCTTTTGATATGGGCGCACAAGCGACGCTGAAGGAAGTGTATGAGCTAGTGAAGCGGGTGGAGACAGACAAGAGGATATACGAGCTTGAGGCGACCACGGACAGGAGCGGGGAGCAAAGAAGGTCAGCGTGGACTGCGACACCAGCCAAAAGGGAAAGACCTCCTCGCAAGGTGGGTGACGAGCGGCGGTGCCACAACTGTGGGCAGCAAGGACATCTGAGGAGAGACTGCTGCAATCCCCCTGCGTGCTCCACCTGTGGAAACGAGGATCATATGAGGCGGGACTGTCCAAGTGCGCCGACGTGCGAGCGTTGCGGGAGAAAAGGGCACGCGGAGAAGGATTGCTACGCGGGAGGCAAGAAAGGGCGCACCAGAAGGGACCCGGAAAGCATGAGGGCGCAGATTGCACGCTTATAGCGCCAGCTGGAAGAGGTTGATGGGCAAGAGGTGAAAGGAACGGCTATGCTGGCTAAGGCTGAAGAAAAAGATGACGACGACGGTGAAGCAAGCTTTGTATTGATGGCGCGCCCTGTACGAGAAAGAGATGAACTGGGGCTGCGTGCACGGCGACGATACTTCCTCCGGGAGCAACCCAAGCAGGAGCGCGGCCCACGCTGAGAGACCACGGGGGATCGTCCACCGGGTGCGGCGCGGCGGCACCCGCTGGAGAGGATGGCCTGTCAGCCCTCAGTCTTGGTGGTGGAACCGGACATGATGTCGGTGGGAGGAGTGAAGGTGAAACAGGCAATACTAGACACGGGAGCACACAACGTGCTAATCAGAGTCCCCATGGCGAGATTGTTGGGATTGGATCGTGAGGATCGTCTAATACAGGAGGGATTTAGTGGCAACGGTTGACGGAGGGGCAACGAAGTGGATGCCGAGGACCAAGAGTACCGTCGAAATCGTGATCAGGCCAGGGCACAAAGGCTCGCATAGTGCGGATGTACTGCGGTGTGTCAACGTCGGAAGACTACGATCTCCTGCTAGGAGTGGAGTATTTGTTCGCAATCGGCACCACGATCTGCATGTGGGAAGAGAGGCTGATGTACCTGGTGACCTACTGGGAGCACGGGAGTCCGCTGGCAGAGTTACCTGTGCGGTTTGTCAGGAGGGAGCCCAGGGAAGCCTACCAGGCCGTGGAAAAGCCGCTGGAAGAAGAGCTGGAGATATTAACGTGGAAGGAGATGGGGCACATGAAGGCAGCACGGAAGCAGTATGAGGAGATTTTGGGGGTCAGTGAGAACCTACGCGAGCAACAGCTGAACCTGCGGGCCCTCCAGAAACCACTAGTGGTGCTAGAGCTATATGGAGGGATAGCGACGGGTCT